GATCCCAAAAACGTTTGCTTTACATCTTAAGTCATATACCAGCAGGTTCTCTTAAGGCACACATTCACAGTAGAGGTGATTGATATAACTCCCAATGAGACAAAAATTGGTTCCTGTAGGGAGGGAGTTAAAAAAACCTCTTTATGTATAAAGTACAGACCTACATATGGCACATAAACAGGTATACGATATATCTGTGGCTTTAAAATTTCATGGTAAGGATTAGAGAAAAAACTGTCTAAAAAGATTCCCTAGGGTGTCATAATGAGAAAAAGGTAGAGAAAGTCTGCCCTAAGGAATCAAAAGTGAGGCAAATCTACTTTAAGCAAGCAAGATACTCCAGTGAATGTCAACACTGGGCCAAAATGAAAGAGGCTTGAGTTACTCTGCCCTTTAAAATCTTGCTGGTGGTAACATAAATGGGCCAACACATTTTCTTTTATCATATTATCTGAGAGTGTGTTTGATGCTTATAGTGCATGACCACAAGCTGTTTCAAGTCTTTATGCAGAGTGAAGAATGTTTTAAAAGGTTAAATTCTTGTTGAAAATTGGAAAATTCCCATAGGTAGTTTTAACTTTGGAAAATCTTTTTTGTTGTTATATATAGTAAAATAAAGTATATCAGTTCTTCTGAGGGACAGGACAGAGGGAAATGATAGGATTTTTAGATGTGCAAGTACAGAGTACAAAATCATACATTTGAGGAAATCTGCTACTTTTATAGTCAATAGAACCAACAATCTCAATGTGAAAAACAGAATCAACAATTGCAGACCAAATGTAAGAACAACAATGAATACAAGAAATAAAAACCTTCTACATTGGTTTGATTTCTAAGAGATAAATCATAACCATTTTAGGCTATTTGAATGCCTAAATTACAATCTAATTTCTCAAAAGTGTCTCTTCGGACTATGGCTTCCTTCAGTTTTATATTTAAGTTGAAATCTCTTATATACACACTTCCACTTTATTATTTTCTTCTTAAGGCACGCTAGAAAGGAAAGACGTCAAAGTTCCGTAGGGAATAAAAGCTCAGGTTAGAAAAATACACATATTTTTCCAAGCTAAGGAAATAAAGCCCAGATGTTTCTCACAGACACTTCCGAGGTTGAAAAGCCCACCTGTGGAGCAGGACAAAATTATCTTAAGAACCTTCTGTGACCTGATACAACAGAACAGATTCTAATTATGCCATGAGTTGACAGGTTAATGAATTATAATTTTAGGAATTGTATTTTAATTTATATATGGACAATGTTAGTGTATGAATTTAGAAGTTATTTCAAACTATCATGTGAATTTTCATATTATTCCTCCTCAAAAACAGAGGGTTAAACAATTTTATCATTTGAATGAATGTGGGGATCCTGCCAGTTGCTGATTATGCCTATTCCAATTATGCACCCCAGAACTGGGGAAGTAACCACAGAAGGGGTTTGGCAACCCCCTGTGAGATGGATCTGAGCTAATATTCTGTTGATCACCTGACCTCCATAAACCCCTACATTGACTGGTGGACCACAGTGATGTTTTGGGTCTCCTGGAATTAGTGTCAATTCAGAGCAAGTGTCCACTAATTTCCAAAAGTCTGATGATGTCCTTTCTCCTAAGTATAGTCACCCTGGTAAAAGGCCATACATCCCTTTGGGGAAGGCTGGAAGAAAGACTAGCAGTATAAATTTTTGGTAGCGTAGCTGAGTTCCTCCTCAAGGTGCCTGGCCTTCCCTTTATTTGAGGGGTTTTGGGTTTGTAAACTGGCCCCATTCTGGGAAATGATTGAGGGTCTGTGACTATTTTTATGATTCAAGGTAGTCTTCCGTTTGCTTGACCCAGAACTCTTCCAGTTGTACAGATTAAGGAAGAACTGAGGAGACTGCCAGTCTATTTCATTGCTAGTCGCCCCATGATCAGCTGGCCACTCCACAGGTCTCCTATTGGTTCTGTTTCTGTGGAAAATGCTGGTAACAATAAGGGGCATGGAAAGGAGAAAAACGGTTTTAAGCAGAAATGGTTTAGTTCTTCAAGAATCAAGAGGAAAAAAGGATCTGATTCAATCATAAAATTTGAGAGCTTAAAAACTATCTTTTACCTTCTGGGTTTTGTTCAGCAACATTGATAAATTTGGTTGGAGATAGAGCGTAATCACTGACCATAGGGAAACCAACTAATTTTTGTATAATTATGCGTCCAAGAACTAAAATTTGGTAAGAATCCAAATCTTCCAGAAATTATAGATCGCATGACTTTAGGCACATAACCAAATCCAAAAAGGCAAGTTTCAAGAGCAAAGGAGGCGAGGGCTTACATTGCTTGGCTCTGTCCTCATCCACGTTGGCCTCGTCGACAGCTTGCTGTATCTCATCCAGCCAAAGCACTTTGGAAACACTCTCAGGGTCCTGGGAACAATGCCACAGAATAAAAAGAAAGAACAGTGAATAACGAGGAAACAGAATTAGTAACTGCTTTTGAGGAGCCATTTAATCATAATTCCCACAAATTCTCAATCAGCAACTACCCAGCTCTGCCATATACTGTACACACTCCTGATGAAGCTGACCCCAAACCTGACCACTTCTCTCTTCTTCCCGGCCACTCTTTAGTCCGGCCCTCCATCCTCTCCCATCTGCAGCCGCACTGGCCCCCTAGCGGGTTCTGCTGCATCAAAGCTTGCCCTCACCACTGTGGCCCTCTACAGAGAGCCCAGAGGATCTCTTTAAAAGATATTCAGTGCACCATCCTCTGCTTAAACCCTCCCCAAAGGCTTCCCCAGCTGTTAGAAGGAAACACAAACTGCCTTTTCAGGGACAGTGGGGTTCTGCCTGCATGGCCCTGCCTACTGCCTCTCTGGCTGTACCTCACGCCTCTCTACCTCCCCCTTCCTGTTAAAGACCTTCACAGGAGTCTCCTTCAGACCACAATACTCTATCCTCACTGTGCGGCTGCTGGCTTTTTCTTACCATTCAGGTCTCAACTCAAATGCTACCTACTCCAAAAAGTCTTCCTGGGCTACCCTAGTCAAATACTCTCTCCCTCAATCACTCAATTAATGTGGTTCCCAAACTTTATGTCAAGGTGCCCCAAGTTATCATGGGATATTTTTAATTTGAGAGAAACACAGGGATTGTCAATATTTACCAGAGAGACAAAAATGAAAATGAAACAACATGGTGATTGTCCTTAAGGAGCTAACAATGTAGTGTAAGAGACAGATATGTCAAGACATATAGCTGGGCGCATGTCTCCTGCCTGTAATCCCAGCACTTTGGGAGGCTGAGGGGGGGAGGATCACTTGAGGTCAGGAGTTTGAGACCAGCTTGGCCAACATGGTGAAACGCTGTCTCTGCTAAAAATACAAAATTTAGCCAAGCATGGTGGTGCATGCCTGTAGTTCTACCTACTTGGAAGGTGGGAGAATTGCTGGAACCTGGGAGGTGGAAGTTGCAGTGAGCCAAGGTCAGGCCATTGAACTCCAGTCTGGGAGACAGAGTGAGACTCTGCCTCACAAAAA